CTTCCTTCTGATTGGTTAATCAAACGCTTCGAAGCATTCGTAGTGGCAACTCGACCGCACCCAAAAATATACAAATTTATTGAATATTGCATTAGGCGAATTCAAGCTGACAAAGCGGATAGGCCAAACGATTGGTTGGATAAAAAATCATGAAGACAAATCTGGGGATAAAAAATCATGAAGACAAATTAATAATTTTTGTCGTGTACATACATTGAACAGGTTGTATATCTTTTAGATTGTTTTTATCATATTTATTAATCTCATGTATATAAACGTAAAAATTAATATATCAATCTCGTCTATAATATCTTTATCATACAAGTGACATATTTTGCACTCTTAAGTTATATAACTTCAGTCATTTGTTAACAGCTGGTGTAAAACGACGTACTTTCTTCAGGTTAGTGTAGTTCTTATATGTAAACTACCTTGTCTTTAATTATGATATAATCATAAACAAGCATTTCAACTAATTATTTGTTAGATTAAAGTATGTGATATTATTTTATGTTATTAATGATATTTTATAAAGAAAAATAGAATATTTTACTAAATTAAGGGTTAAAAACTTATATGATAATTAGCTAATATAATCGTGTAGTGAGATTTTTTACAAAAAATGTTATAGTATTGAAATTATAACTAGATTTTCTTCTCGTATATTATTAAGGTAATTTAAACACTATTTTTTATTCTTTATTATATGTACCTACCATATTAAATTATTTTTTACTTTATTATTTTAATTTTTAATTGTTAAGTACGAAGAAATATAACATATGCTATATGTATAGTAAAAACAACATATCTTTTATATTATACTTATTAATTAGATTGCTGTTCCATATCATTTACCTTCTTTTTCCATTTTTAAAGAACTTAGTAGAAAGAAAAATATTAATTTTATTTAATATAACAAACTATATAATTCTTTTTATAATTTAATTAAAAGATAGGACGAAGAATATAATTACATAATAAAACATAATTGGTGACACAAGTTTTTCAAGTGCAAAAAAAAAGTTGATATTGTACAAGAATTTATCTAGCATATATATAATAAACAGATAATATTACTCAGAATTAATCAGTTATCGTGATATTAAATTTTTAGGTGACACACAAAAAGAAAGATTTTTTTACTACATGCTAAATCTTCTCGATTCAATATTTATTTGTACAAATGATGTAAATCACAACTGTCCCACAAAACACATTTTTTTACAATTAGTATATTTGTTAAAAAAATATTATAGATTAAACACAAAAGTGGATCATTTTATTGGTATTATAAAAATGATAATAGTGTATTCTATTTTTATATGTATATATATTGTATCAAAAATTTTTTAATATTTTTTAATAATTCTTTTTATTAAAACTTTTAATAATACGCTAAAAGTTATGACTATCGATAGTAGCAATGTGTAAAGTATTTATTTCTATATAATTCTTATCATATCAGAATTACAATACAGATTTTATCATATCATAAAGTTATTAATCTTTTCATGTTCTTTACTAATGCAATATTAGAAGAAAACTTTTTTCCAATAAAAGTTACATTTTTTGATATTATTATATTAAGTAAATTATATTAAATTTAGATAAGTTTATTATTATTTGAATTAAAAGAGACTTTTACTAAATATAATATTTTTATAGTTATTACGTAACGTTTGATTTTCATAGAATTGTAAAAGTGTTCTGTATTTTGTAAACAGTGTCGTTTCAATCCATGTAAGTTAATAATAATTTTCAAGATTGTTAATTACAGATTTAAATTCTAAGATATAGTACTTAATACGACTAAAATATTGCAAAATTTATATTATTGTCTTTTATTTCATTAGATTAAATAAAATATTGAGTTTACATCCTTTTACAAAATTTAAGTTATTGTATCTATTTGAATTATTATACAGTGATGGCAAAAAGTTCGGCAACGGTCAAATATCTTGGAAAATAATGATTATGGAAAAAAATGTTCCATACAAAAGTTTTAGTATATCAAGTAATCTATTATACGGTTATATTGAAATGACTTTCATGTGACCTTGAAGGACACCATGAAGGTCAATTTTGAAATCTTAAATAGAAATACCTATTTTCTATTACATATTCTTAAAGCTGGTGTCAAGACGTTTCCGAAACACTGACATTTACAAACCCTTTTTACTTGAGATCTTCCTGAGTTATGAACCTTTAAAGTTTAAGTATCGCCGGCGCGTTATCTAAGGTGTACCGCGTAAAGGTGGCACGATCGGATATCCATCTCTTATATCCATTTCCACCAATGCAGATTAATTTTAATTTTGGTCCAATTTGATCTTCATCTTTTTCTAATTCTAAAAATTAGAAAAAGATTAACTGTAAGTTAAACCGAGATTAAAGTTAATCTGCATTGGTGGAAACAGGCAGTAGAGATGCTTGATCAAAGTGAGTCTTTGTGCGTGCGTGCGTGCGTGCGTGCGTGTGTATGAGAATACAGTCAGAGATAAAGACTCCGAGATTTTAATAGTAATCAAAAATGTAATGGTGCAATCGTGGAAAAATTAAAAATTTTATGTAGAAAAAGTGATAAGGAACGAGGGATTTCTCAGATCTTATTTAATTATACGAGTACATCAAGAAGGACGGTAACACTTGTTTTTAATTATCCAAAGGCGGTCAATTAAGTGATCGAACAGTTTGATTCACTTAAGCTACAAAAGGACAAAAAGTAAGATTTATTGTATCAACGATGTATCGTGATGAGGATGTGTTATTGACAGTGTTGTGCATAGATGATTTTAAAATTAGCTAGATAAAGATAAGATGAAAATTTGGAAATTTATCTTAGATAAGATAAAGATGATTACATTTAAATTAATCTAGATAATATAGATAAATTTATCTGACAATTCATCTAAAAAATTCCAGATAATTTTTTATTTTTAAGACTATTTATAAATTAAGAATCAGTTTTTTCTCAAAATAATTAAAAAATCACGGTGGTCCTCGATTGAATTCAACCCTGACTTTCCTGCACCTCTGATTTTCCTTCTGGAATTGGTTTTGGAACATTTCAGGACCATTTTGCAATAAATATTAAAATCGAAGAGTGAGCACTTTTTTTT